GAAGCGTTTGCAGGTGCGTTGGCAAGTCAAGCTCGTTTGTAGGCGATTGGCGGGTTGCAGGGGCTCCTGGAAACGGCGATGAAAGGGGTGTCACCAGGAAAACGGTGGTAAAACGGTGTGATGCACCAACACACGGTGGTAAAACACTGGTACACCAGGAAAACGGTGTGATGCACCAACACACGGTGGTAAAACACTGATACACCAGGAAAACGGTGGTAAAACAGAGTGATACACCAGGAAAACGGTGGTAAAACAGAGTGATACACCAGGAAAACGGTGGTAAAACAGAGTGATACACCAGGAAAACGATGGTAAAACAGTGTGATACTCCAGGAAAACGGTGGTAAAACGGTGTGATGCACCAACACACGGTGGTAAAACACTGATACACCAGGAAAACGGTGGTAAAACAGTGTGATACTCCAGGAAAACGGTGGTAAAACGGTGTGATACACCAGCTAACGGTGGTAAAACAGTGTGATACACCAGGAAACGGTGGTAAAACGGTGTGATACACCACGAAAACGGTGGTAAAACGGTGTGATACACCAGGAAAACGGTGCGATACACCAGGAAAACGGTGGTAAAACGGTGTATATACGGTGTGATGCACCAGTGACCGGTGCATAGACGGCGTGATCACCAGTAAACGGTGCTCCCGGTTCATCGAGGGAATCCTTGAAGCACCTGAACGTATAGGGTACTCGGGTAGTTTGGGCAAATCAATTTGCGTTGACTGTGTGGTAAACCGGTGGCGCTAAAACGCACAGTAAACAAACGGTGCTAAGAACGGTCAGGAAACGCTGCTAAAACGACCGGTGACGGCTAAGTGGTACGCCGCTAAGACGGTGTGCCAGTACCAAAAATAGTGTGGTACCGCAGTACGCTGTGCTCAAACGGTGTTAAATCGGTGTGGCGAACAAGCAAACGGTGCTTTGGTAGGTGGGCACTTGGGCACATACGTAGCAGGAGCTCCGGTTAGCGGCGAACTCGTGGGTGGAGCACTCGTAAACGGCGCAGTCCTGCGTGAAGAGTTGTTGAGAATGCGTCGGCGAGCGGATCCCTGGCAAGCAGTGCGCTTGCAGGCGATTGGTAGGTGCGGCACACGTGGCGGGCTGCGGTAAATGAGAGAGAGAGAGAGAGTCGAGTTAGAGTGCAGGGACCATCTCTCCGGGGAGTTCTGACCTCACTTGTCTTCGTGCTGCTACGGCGGGCGTAAGTCGCTCCGGGAGGCGCGCTGCAGGTTGCGGCTCTGCTGCAGTGAGTGGCGGCACCGGAGTTGGTGCTGCAGCGGGCGCTCTGGCCGGCGGGTGAGCTCGTCTCGCGGGGGATCGCCGCCTCGTAACGCTGCGGACCCTCTTCTTTCTCGCGGCCCGACGGTGAATGATAATGTGAAAACTGTGCACCGGCAGGTGAAGCACTAGGAAACAAGTTCTGCACCCGAACCAAAGCAATGTTCCGCTGCGGAGCTGGTGTATCCGGTAGCTTGAGCACTAATAAAGGGTGCCCTGTTGTGGGCACATGCCGTTGCGGGGGCTCCGGGTAAACGGTGCACGGGAGGCTGGAGCACTAGTATACGGTGCACTGGTAGTGGAATGAAACAGTAGTAAGAAGGCGCATTGATGCGCGGCACACTCGTTGACGGGACGATTGGTACGTGGTACACATGCGGAGCTGGTGCAGCCGGTAGCTTGAGCACTACTAAAGGGTGCCCTGGTTGTGGGCACATACGTTGCGGGGGCTCCGGTAAACGGTGCACGGGTGGCTGGAGCACTAGTATACAGTGCACTGGTAGTGGAATGAAACAGTAGTAAAGGCGTATTGATGCGCGGCGCACTCGTTGACGGGACGATTGGTACGTGGTACACATGGGCATCTGCGTTGCGGAGCTGGTGCATCCGGTAGCTTGAGCACTGATAAGGGTGCCCCGGGTGACGGGCGATTAGTGGGCGGCGCACTGGGCACATACGTTGCGGGGGCTCCGGTAAACGGTGCTCTGGTGGCTGGAGTACTGGTAAACGGCGCACTCGTTGACGGATGACTGGTGGATGGCGCGGGCACATACGTTGCAGGGGCTCCGGTTAACGGTGCACGGGTGGCTGGAGCACCAGTAAACGGTGTACTGGAGGCTGGAACAGCAGTAAACGGTGCACTGGTAGCAGGAGCACTAGTAAACGGTGCACTGGTTGACGGGCGATTGGTGGGCGGCGCACTGGGCACATACGTTGCGGGGGCTCCGGTTAACGGTGCACTGGTGGCTGGAGCACTAGTATACGGTGTACTGGTAGCTGGAGCACTGGTAAACGGCGCACTCGTTGGCGGATGAGCGGTGGGTGGCGCACTGGGCACATACGTTGCGGGGGCCCCGGTTAACGCTGCACGGGTGGCTGGAGCGCCGGTAAACGGCGCACTGGTAGCTGGAGCACTAGTAAACGGTGCACTCGTTGGCGGACGAGCGGTGGGCGGCGCACTGGGCACATACGTTGCGGGGGTACCGGTTAACGGTGCGCGGGTGGCTGGAGCACTAGTATGCGGTGCACTGGTAGCTGGAGCACTAGTAAACGGCGCACTCGTTGGCGGACGAGCGGTGGGCGGCGCACTGGGCACATACGTTGCGGGGGCTCCGGTTAACGGTGCACCGGTGACTGGAGCACCAGTAAACGGTGCACTGGTGGCTGGAGCACTAGTAAACGGTGCACTCGTTGGCGGACGAGCGGTGGGCGGCGCACTGGGCACATACGTTGCGGGGGCCCCGGTTAATGGTGCACGGGTGGCTGGAGCGCCGGTAAGCGGTGCACTGGTGGCTGGAGCGCCGGTAAGCGGTGCACTGGTGGCTGGAGCGCCGGTAAGCGGTGCACTGGTGGCTGGAGCGCCGGTAAGCGGTGCACTGGTGGCTGGAGCGCCAGTTAACGGTGCACTGGTGGCTGGAGCACTAGTATGCGGTGCACTGGTGGCTGGAGCAGGAGTAAGCGGTGGTCTGGTAGAGGGCAGTGGAGTCGGTAGGTTTGTGGGAGGGAACGGCGTCGCAGGTGCGTCCGACGAGCAACTCGTGTAAACATTGCACGAGAAGGCGCATTCGTAGCCGGACACCCCGGTACCGGCATCGCACATGAACCGACCCTCGCCGCAGCGAGTCGCAGCGGGGCCGCACGTGAAGCTGAGAGCGCCGTTCCCGCACTGATCTTTACGAGTCGGCCCGAAGCCGATCCACATGCACGCCGGACAGAAGGCTTCGGTCCTGGTCCAATGCTCACCATCCAGACCCCCGTTAACACACACCACCGTCTCGCACGGGCGGTTGCCCTTATTCACGACGCAATACTCATTGGTCGTCAAGTACCCACCTGGTGTACAATCGCCGGTGCTGACCGTGTCATCGATTGTGGCACCCAGGAGGTTCAGATCGTCCACTCCGCAGCCTGGAGTCGGAATACCCGCGGCATCAGGAGTCCCGCCTGGACAATACGCGCCGACGCACGCTATATCCTTAGGAAAATCGACGCACTGCGAGGTCGTACACAGCGAGAGGCACGTTCCGCCTAGCGTGGGGCAGGTCGCTTCGAAGCCGCGCGGCGCTAAGCAGCCGTCGCAGTAAAACCAACACGGATCCCTGGGTGCGCAAACGAGGTTCGCGCCTGAACACTCCTTTCTGATGGTAAACTTGCACGGTCCGGGGCACGTGTAATTCATCCCCGGACCGTCGCAAACGTACTCCTCAGTTCCACCAACAGCCGCCAGCAAAAGCAGCACGCAACTCATCGTGGCTGCGGCGTTTTTTTATTTTACTTTTTCTGTTGTTTTTTTTCTCTTTCTTCCCCCCCCCCCCCCCCCCCCCGAACAGCAAGTGTCAGACTAGCCCACCCGAAGGCAGTTGTTTTCTTTAGGCAGGCTTCCTCTACCGGCAGAAGTTGTTTGGGTTAGCGACTTCTTTTTTCTTTTTCTTTTTCTCTCCTTTTTTTCCCCACCGTGTATTCGTTACCTCTTTTCCCTGTGTCCTGCGGTAGCGGTTTGTTGAAGCACGCCGAGAGGTATCTGAGACTGTTTCGACGTTTAAGGATCCGTGTTTTCAGAGTTAAAGTTCGCTTGAGAATCCGGGATTTTTGTGTCTCCGGTCGACAGGGAAAATGGAAAGGAAGTTCTTTCGTTCGGTCTGGTTTCTGTTCGTTCGTCTGTTGGGTGGTCTGACTGTTGAGATTATGCTAGAGTGTAAGTTCGCTTGAAAACTCCGGTTGTTTCTATTCCAAAGCCAGAATCCCTAACCCCGTGGGGTGGCGGCGATAATCATGATCGAACACGTCAGTTTGCGTCAGTGCCAATTGTGTTTCCGCCCATCCTGCATGGGTGTACAGATTGGCCTCTCCACCTGTTTGCGAAGCTCAGCCTAGTGCGTGCTTGTGGTGATCGGTGGTATTTTTTCGCCGAAGGGAAGTGCTTGTTTATCGAATCGTTGAGCTAGACTTGACTCTCGTGCATTAGCCAAGTGGGCCACTCTTATTGCTTTTCCGCTGGGCACCTGGCATCGAACACGCGCGCATACAGACATTATGGCTGCTGTGTTGCGGGCTAATTCGGTGAAATCCTGCACGTTCGGAACATGATCGCGAGGCTATTCTCCTCTTCAAAACACGCCTGCCAGCGTTCTCTTTCAAGTTGACAAGCAGTTGGTACTGCGCAAAACGGGCTGAAACAAGAGTAAGCGTCCACTTCTCGATCGTTGGGGAATCGCGGAGGAGGAATGGGGGGGACGTTGTTATTGGTGCTGGTTTTGAGGGATAACGAAAAAGTAAAAAGTCTTTTTGCGGTGGCCTCCGCTGGTCTGGCAGTCTGTGCTACCTCCGTTCTTTTACACTCGTACTCTTCTCTACTCACTACAGTAGTGTAAATTTGTTGCATTAGTGTGTGTGGGCCTTTGAAGCGTGGATGATGCCTCTCGCGCTGCTCCCCTTGAGGTTCCTGGCTCATGCCAAAGCGCCGCCGCCCGGGTTTAGGGAAATAAAATACCTTCTCGGCCTTTTGGCTAAGATCAAGTGTAGTATCTGTTCTTATCAGCTTAATTTGTTGCATTAGTGTGATTGTCAGGCCTTCGACTACCCTGAGCAACGCACTATGCACACTCCGGTACTACACTGCAGTACGCGTACTCTTTCACTCTTTTCCTCTCTTTGGCTAGCCAAAAAAGACTCCTGTGACCGACACCACGAACACATTCGCAATGAATGTGGCTCTAGGCCGCCTCACGTGCCTACATGTTGAGCAGGGGTTGCAGGAGGAATGGGGGGAGTGGGATGGCCAAAGGAGAAAGCCCTTTCAAAGTCGGCGAGTGCCGGAGCAGGAGTCCGCGAGCGGGGAACTTTATCATTGTTGTTACGCGTTCGTCAGGCCAAATCGATGCCGCGACGTTCCCTGTTTTAAAGTGCACTTAGGGATCCGGGGTTTTAAAGTCTCCGGGTGACCATTGTCGTAAAGGTTCATTTAAGGTATCGTATGTTAGTGTGCGTATCGCTGCGGTAGTGGCAGTACGTGAACTCGTGTCTCTTTTTTAGCTGTAGCAAGTGCGCTCTCGCAGGAGGTAGGTACTGGTAATAGCAAGAAAGTTGAAGTATGGCTAAAGATAAAGTGGTGTCACCTGAGGGGGTAATCTCAGGGCCGCCCACGTGATAAGCCGTTAAGCATTGAGTTCTTTTAAGTACATGAACCACGTGGATTAACATGCACTGCCTTGAAAGTCAGGTTATCGGATGACGTCGTCACCTGCCATTGCGTCGTCAAGGTCGAGCATTTGTGGAGCTAGCGGGGTTTGGCTTTCTTGCGATTCCAGAGACTGAGTCGGCGAGTACGAGGGCGGGCACGTGTGTCCGTTTTTCACTTTCGAGGGCGTTGGTGTGCCCGTGGTCCCCGGTCGTTTCTGAGAGCTGCTTGCCCTCGGTACCTTCTTCTTCCTTCGATGCACCCCTGAGTCGGGGGTGGTCGCCTTCGTCTTCTTCCGCTTGCGGCCGGCGATCGGGCCTTCCTTCGGGGTGCCTAGCACCCTTTTCTTCAGCGCTGGTCGTTCGCTGGTTCCTGGCGTTGGTGGCGGCCTCTTGGTCGCCCGTCCGGTCGTCGCCGTCTCCTTTTTCGTTGCCGCGGGCGGCGCTTGCGCCGCTCGCTTTCCAACTGGCGTTCCCCGTTGTACGCCCACCTGGGTGGGTGAGGAGGGCCTCTTCTTCTTGTTGCGTCCGGGGGTTGACGGGACGTTCGGTTCGTTGGACTGGTGGTGGCCGCGGCGGCAACATGCCGCCGGTCGCCTCTGCGTCAGCGTAGGGAGCCTCTTGCACTCTTGGCAGGTTCCTCTGCCATGCGTGCGGCAGGCATGATGCCCGCTGCGGCAACACGCCGCCGCCGTCTTGCACTCGCCGCACTTCGTCGTGCTGTGCTCTGTGCACACCGCGATCGGCTGCCCATCGTTCGCGTGGTGATGGTGCCGGCAGCACATCTCTACCGTGGGAACGTCCCTTCGGACGAGTGCTCTGCACGCCTCACACTTCCCTTTGTGATGGGTCGCGCACGTGACGAGTGCCTTCTCTATATCGACACCCGGCATATGCACGGGGTCTGGGTGCAGTTGTGGTGGGGCAGGCAGGGCCCACCTCGCCGCTCTCCCGATCGTCCAGTCAGGGTACGCCGGGCACTGCGTCCCTACATCGCTTCCTTTCACTTGTTCCTCAAGTATCGTCCCCGTGTGTGCCTCGCGAAAGCGTGGCCTGGGCCGTACACCCGATATCCCCGAGATGCCCATGAACGACAGCGACGTCGTCGGGCACACCCTCTCCCCTCTCATGCAGCTTCCCAGCCCTTGCTGTGCCGCCAGCTTGTCCAACGCGCTCATCATGCAGCGCAGGACGTTTCCCCGTTCTCTCACCCCCTTCGGCGCATTCCCGTGCAGCGGCATGCTGAGGCCCGAGAAGAGTTCAAAGTCGATCGCAAGCTCTAGCATTGACGCCTGCCCGCTCTCGGTCCACTGCATGTCAGACAGCCACGCTACCAACGCATAAAACGTCGGTAGTCCCCAGGTCTTGTTTCGCTCCCACGTCCATGCCGGGGCAATCCGCGCAAAGGGGTGGTCAAATTTCTCGGCAGGCATCGCATCCGCTCTCGACCAGGGGGTCGTGGGGTTCCTGGCTACCCAGCCACGTGCTTCGAGCCCTGCACGTTCCGTAAGGATTTCAGCCATCATCTCCTGGAGCCGCCTCGATAAGTGGGCGTTCCCCGGTACAACCACACCATGTTCCAGCGTGCATCGGGGCCACTCGGTTCGGTTGGCCGCCATCAGCCCGGCGTGTGCTTCCCGCCGGCGAATGTGTGAGTATGCGTCGCAGTCCCAGTAGATATGCTGTTCGTTCTCCGTCACGCCGCTCCCACAGTGCTTGCAGCTGGGCGCCTGCGGCTCAGCTCCAGCCTGCCTCATCCGCGACGTGAACTCCGCCGTGTTCACACCCCCCGCAATCGCAACTCGAATTAGCTTCGCCGTGTGCGCGGAACATTCCCTCGTCTTCCAGAACGCATTCGTGCGCTCCAAGTCGGCTCTTTCCAGCCCCTGATATCCTGGCCTTCTCGCCATCAGTCGGGCCCACGTCCTCGTTCTCAGGTCCGCCCTCACTTCGTGCCCCCTCTTCGAGGGCGACGAGGCCAGCGGGTCGAACACTGCACCATTCCGTCGTAGCGTGCGAGATAGGGGCCCAGGCTCCCATATGTGTCCACACTCCTCCATGCTCCTCATCGCCAGCCCGACTGGGCCGAGGGGTTGGTCCCCCTCGGCGTACCGCCCCCGGATACTCTCCATCAGAGGTAGCAGTCGCGGCAGCCTCTCGCACGCCGCGTAGAACGCCGTCGTCACCCGGTACGCTAAACACGTACCGGGGTCCGTCAGGTGGCCCTTCTCCTGGAAGTTCAGGACCATTTCTCTCGCGCGCTTCGGGTTTGCTCCACCCCAGATCAGACCCATCACCGACGTCGTCAACCGCTTCATCGCCACCTTTGACACCGGCGCGAAGGAGCAGCCCGATAGCGCTGCCGGCAACACATTCGACTGCACAATACGGACCCGCTTTTCGTACCGGAATGGCGCGTGGCGGAGGCCCTCCGCTAGGGCCGCCGCCCTCTCTACCCTCTTAGAGTCGGACCTCTCCTTTCTGTTCTTCGCCGTTGAGACTAGGGCCCCCAGACACGTGACGGACTTGCTAAATCGCAGCAGCGCATTTCCGCTTCGGAGTCTGAGCGTCGACTGGTGCCTCTGCCTCGTCGAGAATGCGATGGTCTTCTCGAGGTTTAGCTGCATTCCGGTGAGTGTGCAGAACTCGTCAACAATGTCGACTCCCTTTTGCAGTGCGGCCTCCGACAGCCTGGACAGTAGTGTGGCATCATCCGCGTACGACTTAGGACTCACACCCTCAGCTTCTTTTTTGACCGCTTTCATCACTACCGACAGCAGGGCATTGATGAGTATGACGGACACAGGGCACCCTTGAAGGATACCGTTGGTCACACTAAACTCCCTGCCCACCCCTAGCGGCAACTTGAAGCGTCTTGCGAGCAGACTGTAAATCGCCCTCAGCGGCTTGAGAACCCGACCGTGCAGTCCTAAGTCCTCAGCCAGGCGTAGCACTACCTCTCGCGGGACCATGTCGAAACACTTCCGGAAGTCCAGCGCCACTCCGTAGAGCGGCTCTCCGTCCAGCAAGGCGTCCTCCACCTCGAGCCCTATCTCCATCAAGACGTCCTCGATCCGGTGGCCCGGCCGAAAGCCTTTCTGTCCTTCTTCGATCCACCCCTCCTGCCACAGGACAATGTCCGCAAGCCTGCGGCAGGCCCACAAGCGGTACACGGCGGACGTGACGGTTATCGGCCTCGTGTGCAGCGGGTCTTGGCTCTCATCTTTCGGCACCATCGACACCAGCGCAGTTGTCATGCTTGCCGGCCAGTCCCCAGTCGCTTCGACCAGGTTCATGACGTCTGCAAGTGCATTCAGCAGGGGGAGCGGCAACTCCCGCAGTTCAGCCATGCGCCAGCCATCCACCCCTGACGCGCTTTTCTTCGGCTTCTTCCTCAGCAGAATTCGCAGCTCCTCCCCCGTGATTGTTCCGGCTTCCATCAAGTGTGGGCCGATGTGATCCTGGAACCGATCCCGAAACGGCTCGTACTCCGGCTCTGGCCCGTCCTTGTACTTACGCAGGATAGGGTCCCACGCAGTGTTCAGCGCCTCGTCCATCTCGTCAACATTTGCAGTCACTCCCGCCCCCGTTCGCAACACCCCCGACGGCTCAGCGCGTCCGGCGCAGATGGTTGTCAGACATCGTCTGCTCGCATCGGCCCTCTCGTTCAGCTTGTCTCGGTACTTCGTAAACCTGGCCGCCGATCCTTCCCTTCCGAGCCTACTCGTCTCTTCCCGCAATGCCGTGAGAAGCTGCTTCGCCTCCTCATGATCCGGGAATCCTTCTGTCCCTTGGCCACCTTTCATGCACGCCTGTGCCAGCCGTCTGCTGTTCTGCCAGCAACGGGATACTTCATGCGGAACTGCCTCCGGCCCGCGTCGCTGCGCAAGGTAGCTGCAGATGCGTTCCATCCTGTGGATGGCCTTCCGGAGCCGTAGCTGTCTGCTGTTCGCCGCCCCCGACCCGTCGCTCGCAGTGCTTGCCGTGATACAGACTCTCTTAGGCGACGTCTTTATCCCCCGGCCGGTACTCCTTCCCCTTTCTTCCGCAGGGATTCCGAAGGCATCCTGCAAGTACTGCTCACTGACTCGTGACCACTCGAGCCAGGCCTCTTCCACTCGCTGTGCTGCCAGCCGTTCTGCGAAATCGGAGTTGGTCAGTCTCTGTACGGCTTCCCTGTTAGCTTCTGTGTCCGAGAGGCCCCACTTGGGTCCCCCCTCGGTAGGGATTTCCCGCGGTACTTTAAATCGCCACACGATTTGGCGCAGCGCCGCAATGTCCAGGGTCATTGTCACGAGCCGGTGTCCCGGTACGTTCACCGCGGTGGTGACGCATTGACGGAAAGCTCCCGTCGTTATTCGGTTGAGGAGTATGCGGTCGATCCTCGTGCCTGTCGTCCGGGCGCTGGT